TGGTCAGTTAGAAAGCAGAGATGATACATTTACAACATCTTCTGGTAAAATAGTTTCCTTGAAGATATGGACTCCTGCACAAGATTTACCCAAGACAGCCCACGCTATGTATTCTCTTAAAGCTGCCATGAAATGGGATGAGGAGGTAACTTCGGGTGGATTCCTAATTTATCTGATTTTATTTGAATTGACAACAGTATACAGTTTAATTAGAATACATGCCTCTGTTTTTTGGACAGGTCTTTGGTCTTGAATATGATCTTGATCTTTTCAACGTTGTAGCTGTTCCAGATTTTAACATGTACGCTCCCTATAAACTATAAGTTGCTTATTTATCATTTTTATTTAATTTCATATAAATTATAAACATGTACGTTGCTACACTTATTTCCTTTCAATTATACTAATTTTATGTAATGATATATATATATTTTATTTTTTAGGGGTGCTATGGAAAACAAAAGTCTGAATGTATTCCCTTTTTTTTTACTTCTAAATTTATTTATCCAGCTAAAAATCTTAAAATAACTATGAATTCTACATTGAAATATTACAGATATTCAATTCAAAGCGTGTTTTGGCGTCTCCCGAGACTGCTACTGATAGGGATTATGATTCGATTTTGGGAGTAATTGGTCATGAGGTTAATTTAAAAACACGTCTTTAATAAGTTCCTCAACTTCATTATTATCTTTCAGTTAGAACTTATAATAGCAACCCTAATTATGTTTTTCTTCATTCAATATTTCAGTACTTCCACAACTGGACTGGCAACAGGTAGAATTTCCTTTTAAGATTCATCTATGAGGAATGAATGAACTTAATACTATTCTTTATATTTTACTTACATTTCTATCGTATTACTTTTTCGCAGTATTTAATAAGAAAACTGTTTGATTATATACTAAAACAGTTTTCTTATTAAATACTTTACTGTTTGATTATTTGTCTCTACTCTCCATTACCACCCATCATCATCTAAAATCCATGCACGCTTTCAAAGTTTCGACAGTTTTATGATTATATGATTATTTCCTTCTCATAATAATAATAATTTTAACAAGCAAAATACTTTTTCTGAATTTTCAATCAATTAATCAAATGATAATATTATTTTTCATTTTAATCCATGCTCATAAGGTTTATATTGCAATACTACATAATAATAAAAAAGTATAACTGAGTCTTTTCATAAACATCTGAGCTCTGGACATCTTCTCTGATGATCCTCGCCAGTACTCTGCCACCTCCTCCCTCTAAGATAAAAGAGTGAGAGTCTCTGCCGGGGATAATGAGTGTGTTTGACCACCCTTTTCACGGTGAGTATATAGATACAATCACACATTCTCACGGCCTTTGAGTGTGCATTCAAATCCTCTTAGATTTCAATTTTCTTTCAACTATTCTCGTTGGAAGTTCACTACAGATCGAAACTTCAGAAGTATTCTGATTGTTTGAGGTTAGGCCATTGGTCGGTAAAATACCCGACTACTGGACAAAATTCACCTTCTACATAACTCTCTGATGAAGAACGTATCTCGGCTCACCGATTGTAGATCCCGGTGATCGACTTTCTATCAATTTCAAAAGAACAGTCTGGTGAATAGAACTCCAACTCCTGAGATGCGGAAGTTCGAATAGAATCTAATGTATGTTGATGATGTGCTAATCTTCACCAGGCAAACCATAAATCTTTGAACTCTATCAAAATCATACTAGAAAATTTCACCCAATTCTCTGGATACCTTCTCTAGGGTGTGTTGATGATTAATCCCTCCATAACATCCTAGGTTTCTCTTTTGAAAAACTCCACATTTCCTACATGGGGTTATAAATCATAAGTAAAAGGAAATGATATAGCCAGTGTTGGAAACTAATCCAGCCAATTGAAGCTGGTGTAAGAGGCCTCCCGATTGTCACCCTGCATCAAATATTAAGAGGGCAGCTAGGTTCTGGGGACGAAATGAATCCATTTTGGCGAAATGGGATAGTGGATTCAAGAGAGATAAATCAAAGGGTCCTCCTTATCAAGCATTAGAATTCAACCCTCCATGGACTCACACTTCTGGAAATCAATTATAGGGCACAAGAGACCTGAATAACTCATCCTTGAATTGTACTTTGTAGATCAAATTATATAGTGGTATAGAGAGCAGGAACCCAATGTATAAATTAGGTAGAATTTATGAGATGATTATGAAAAGAAGCCACAAACAATTTGCGAATGGTATATATGGTCTCATATGCCAACCAAATTTTTCATATTATTTTGGAGAATTAAAATTGGACATCTTAAGACTTTCATGAGATTGAGAGGGTTGGGTGTCCCAATTCCCCCCATCTGCCTACTTTGTATTGCTTAGGATGAATCAAGGAGCCAATTATTCTTTAACTTACACATGCACAAGGTTCATACTTAATTACTTACTCCTATAGTGAAAATGCTCAACCAATCCTTTCGAAAGGTAATGAATAATTGTACCCCCTCACCTAACAACCATGATATCAAATTGGGGGATCTAACAGAGGCTTGTTAGAAAACTACTCATCACTCAATGACTTACCTACTTGGGGCATGCCATGGAATATATGGTCTGAAAGAAATAGGAGAATAAAATAACATACATTGTGACCTCTAGAAGTTTTGTTTAGAGAATTGATCAGATACGTTAGCCTCTCCTTATGGCCATAGTGCCATAAGAAAAGTTGTTGTCACCCTTTTGAGGACACCACACTTCAGATGTGAGAGACCAACCTTCTGAGATAGTATCTAGTTGATTATCACTAAGTAGCATAGCCAATTGGAAAGTGTCGATTCTCACCAAAATCTTGGCTGACAGAATCTTCAAGGGTCTCCTCTGAGTTAATATCCCCTCACCAAACAACTTTCATAGCAGAAAGAAACATCTCAGATAACACCATCTTGGCAGACGAGATGGTACATGGCTTCGGGAGAAATAGAACCCCCAACACACCCTTGACGCAATGGGATTCAGCCCTCTGTTGTGCAAATTGGTACATAACTGTATATCCACAGCCTCCTTCTCGGTACTGGTGGAGGGATCCCCCACTCCCCCCTTCACTAACTTTAGAGGAATCAGGCAGGGGGACCCATTGTCTCCTATCTTATTCGACCTGGTAATGGATAATCTTAGCAGACTAATAGAGAAAGAGATCAAAGATAAGAGGATGGATACTTATATCGTGAATGGAGCGGTTTCCATCTCGCATCTCATCTACGCAGATGATGTGTTGATCTTTTCAAAGGCAAATCCCAAGTCTCTAGAAACAATCAAGAAAATCCTAGAGACTTTTTTAAAATTCTCGGGCCTCGAGATTAATCAGGAGAAGAGCTCAGCAACCTACTCAAAAGTATGCATGAATGATCATTATCTGCATAACATTCTCAACTTCCCAAATCCCAACTAAATCCCTCCTTATCAACTATCTTGGTCTCCCAATAACGGGAAGAAAGAAATCTCATGCAACATGTTGGAAGTTGATAAATCCAATAGAAAAAATGTTAACCAGATGAAAAGGGAGACGTCTGTCTTACGCAGGCAGAACCCAATTAGTGAATTGGGTCTTACAAGGTAAGTTTCAACACTGGGCAAACGGAACCACACTGCCATGCACAATTATTAAAAAGATTCAGAGCCTAGCCTACAACTTCATTTGGGACGGGAGAAGAGGGAGTAGTTGGAAAAAAATCGCACTCCCAAAGAGCGAAGGTGGAATAAGGGTCAGGGATTTCTTTGCAATTAATGCTTCAACATTGGTTAAAAGAACAGAGAGGATGTGGAGTCCTAATAACTCCATACTAGCAGACTGGATAAAAATTAGGTACATCAAAGGAAGAAACATTGAGGAAATAGAGTGTAGACCTACTCTGAACTCTCACATGTGGAAAACAATACTAGCTAATAAGCAAACAATAGGGAAATGTATAAACTGCCTGAGTAACTATAGGGTCACACAAATTGCCCCCTCCGAAACATTAAGGCCCAGAGGCATCTTACAAGAGATAAATCTAAGGATCTGGGCCAAAAAGCATCCGAAATTCTCCATGTTGTTGTGGAGAATTAAGGTCAAGAGTCTGAACACTTTAACTAGACTGCAAAGTTGGGGACTCAACATAAATACGTTCCGCCCACTATGTGGAAATGAAGAAGAAACATTACAACACCTATACTTTAACTGCCATTACACTAGATCCCTATTGCTAGAGTCCACTAGTTGTCTTAACAATGCTGTTTGGACACTTAGTGGGCAAAATCCCCCATCTCCCGCAATAGACATCAGGTTAGGAGAAATTATAGAAACAATACAAAAATTCACCCACAAGGCCAGTTGTTGGGGGGTACACTGGACTATGCTAGCATCCCTTTCCTGGCACATATGGTGTGAAAGGAATAGGAGATTAAAACAACACACCTTAAAACCTCCAGAAATTATCAGCAGAGAAATTATAAAGGATGTGAGCATTGCATATGAATCTACATCCTATAAGAACTACAATCTTTCACAAATTGAAATACAAGCTATACACTCATGGGAGTCCAACCTCTCGAGGCTTCAGTCTTTGGCCAGTTAGTCAGGGCCATAGTTGTATAAGTGATAGACAATGTTTTTACATTTACTGTATTTGCATTTCCCTATATTCTGTAATCTTGGGCTATGCCCAACTTCCTTTTTTCAGTAATGAAAGTTTTAATTTCTCAAAATCAAAATTGGAAAGTGTCGATGGGTCATCAAATCCATTTTCCTTTTTATTTTTTTTGTTTTCTCCAATATAAGTCGGGTATTGCCTCTAATTATTCTAATGAAATTTTTTATCTGCTTAAAAAAAAGCCTGAACGAATGGTTGCAATTAGGGTGTCAAATAAAGCTCGGCTCGTTAAGCTCGGGCTCGCGAGCCCGAGCCTGAAGCTCAAGCTCGTTAAGCTCGGTGGGCTCGGTAAGAGGAGTATAATAATAATAAAATATTATTTACGGAGAGAATGAGGATATTGCTTAGATGGTAAAGTACTTGTTTAGCATGGGAGAGGTTGTGGGTTCGATACCCCACTTCTCTAAAATATTTATTTTAACCTGCACAATTTCAGGTTAAGTTCGAGCTCGGGCTCGAACCTTGGCAAATCATTAACGAGCCGAGCCCGAGCTCAGCCAAACCAGGTTCGGCGAGCTCGAGCCTGGATAACTTTTTTAACGAGCCGAGTCCGGCTCAATAAGCCAAAGCTCGGCTCGTTTGACACCCTAGCTGCAATGTAGTCGATTATCATTAGGTAGCATAATCAATTGAAAGTGTCGATGGGTCAACAATCCCGTCTCCCTTTTTATCGTTTTGTTTTCTCCAATGTAACTCAGGCATTGCCCCTCATTATTCTAATTTTTTTTACCTGTTTAAAAAAAAGCCCGAATGATTGGCTGCAATGGTCAAAACATGACCACCCACTATGTCACCACTAATGTTATTTTTGTATGTAATACTAATACCACAAGCATGTATGTTGCCGAGGAGCTCAATTTGTCGACACATTACTCGATGAGCCCTAACAACAACATGACACTCGTCTCTACCATAATAGATGAGGAACTCTTAGCCAATCAAGATAGAGACTATAGCTTGGGTTAGGAAGTTGAGCAACAAGAAGACAAATCCTCTAACCACAGTTAGGAGGATTCGAGGATGTGGACCTTTCGTAATCTGATATGGATGTTGGTGTAGATTATGAATGAAAATGAAGCAATTATCCAACATGGAATTTTTGGATGAATATTGAGCAAGGATCTAGGATCCGATGATGTACTAATGCTGTGAATTAGATGGGATTCCACCCATCTAGATTCACCTTAGATTGGATTCCACCCATCAATGAGAAAATAGAAGAAATATGAAAGAACGAGAAGAGTAGGAAATAATACCTCAATTTGGCAAAATATTCTAACCCCTTCTTCCACCGGTCCACTCTTATTGTGTGTGAGTGGAAAATCCACAACGAGAGTAAAGTCAGCCCATTTAGAAGACCCAAACTATTTGAGCCAAGGACTTGACAAGGCATTATAGTGGGCTACATCATATGCTGACAAGGAAACTAAAAGGGTTGACAATGTAGGTGATAGAGCAAATGAAAAAGTGGATGAGCCAGCATATAAAATTATTATTCTACCGTTATGGACCTAAGCAGTGCAGTGGGTACCCCTCCCTGATTTAGTGTTACAACATAACATCTTGCCATGATCTAGGTCAAGTATACCTCCTCAAGTATTACTGGTCTCCTCTTTATTAGCTTGACAAAGTGAGGCTTTCCCGGAGGAGACAGGTAATACTTGAAGGCCAACACAAAACAAAATAACATTTTGGGTTTCATTTTAGGAAAAAATCCTACAACCAATTTTGGAAGCTCATCCAACTCATTGAGAACCTTCTAGCCCACTTAATTCATTATAGAATGATAGAGGATTATGAACATCTCTATCCCCATCTTTGTCCACTCAGATATAAGAATTGGAGACAATATAGAAGCCAGCCAAAAACTCACTCATCACTGATCACTCTGTTTTTTGGTGTTGCATTCAAATGCTCTCAGCTGTTTGTCTAGGCACATCAGGTTTGAAAGGAACAGAAGGCTAAAGTAATACAAAGTACAAACTGATGTCACCTGAGGTATTTGCCATTGACATAATTAGGGATATCAGCTTGTCCTTCAAACATGAGGTTCAAGAAACGCTAGTACGATCCAATTGGAAGAAAATATGCTTTATGTATGGGAGACCTACCTTCTGAGGCAACATTATTAATTATCTTATCACTAGGAAATAATGCTATTTAGGAAAGTGTCAATGGGCTTGTCTATCTCCCTCTAATCTCTTAGGAAAGTGTAATTCAGGGTGTTTTGCCTTCCATTTAATGGAAATTTACTTTCATAAAAAATAAAGTATACATACCATTTAAAAAACTAATTTATCCAAGTAGGGGTAAATGTTTGAACTTTGATCAATTTCACATTCATTGATGTTACATCAAGTCTTAGGGCTTAATGCTTGTTTTAACTTTTAATTGTAGAAAATTCTTGACAAAAAATGATTATATTAGCCATCTTTTGTATATTTCAAACAGAAAGGTATTTAAACAAGTTTTATGTTGCGCATGCTATAAACCCTATAGTCCGGGTAGCCGGCACTATCTCCTCGCGCTATGAGCTGGCAGCATGTTTTTATTTTGATTTTTTTTAATCAGAATTCTTTAAATAAAATTCTGATCTTGATTTTTTTCTTTCTTAGAATCATAATTCTAATTTCTAAAAACATTGTCTGATCTGATTTTTTAAAAAAAATTAGGATCTGAATTTTTAAACAGGGTCAGATTTTTGTCTTGTTTTTTTTTTTTTTAAACAGGGTCTGGTCTCGAGTTAGAATAGATGTGCAACTATTAGGGGTGAGTACGGGCTGGGTTTGGGACGGGTCGGCCTAAGGGTTAAAGTTAGACTGACCCCGTGTTCACCCAATCAACTATAGAACCTTTAAAGTTTTAGACTTACGATTTTACTCTTTATTTTGGTCACTAAAATTTATTTTATTGCCTTTTAAAATTATTGGGTATTGGCTACTCTTTATTGACCATATTACATGGTTTATAGTTAATTGATGAAATTAATATTACAGTGTTTATTAATATATATGTATATTTGATTTTTAAAAAAAATTACACTTGGCGCCATAGCACGCTATCTCCCATAGTGCGGGTTGCTGGCGCGCTATGGCGCAACTTAAACCTTGATTTTGAAATATAATTTAAAGGCTATTTTTTGTTCCATTTGTTTGTTTTTCTTAATTTCTTAAACAACCGTTCCATCATTACTACTGCAGAGTGACATGCCGTGATTGGTTTCAACTTAGTCTCAAAGAAGGTCTCACAGTCTTTAGAGACCAGGTTTCCCCCCTTTCTCAATATCGTAGAACTTCTTTAATACGTTTTTTTTATGAAAAGTTATCATTTTTAAAATAAGTGTAAATTTCAAGGTACTTCCCACAAATGAAATTGTACGTAGTGCACAAATATTTCTTTTAAAAATGCGACGACAAGTTTCCATAAAGTGATTAGTGCCATTAAAAATATCTTCTCTAATCTCTGATTGTAATTTTTCTTTTAATTACTTTTTATCAACAGGAATTTTCATCTGATATGGGTAGCCGTACTGTTAAGCGCATAGCTGATGTCTCAATCCTACGCAATCACCAGTTTCCACAGGTCTATATTTACCTAATTTCTATAAAAAAATTGTATCTAGGTAAATATATTTGAATGAAAGAAAATATTTTTTAGGGTGTAGACTATTAGATGAAATCCCCAACCCTAATTAGAGTATGGGATAAGTGCACTAGGCTAGGGCCTAAAGGGATCCTTCTCCATTACTACGGAATAGTCTAATGATTCCTAATTTGACCCAATGTCCATCTATATAAAAAAATTGTTGGCAAACTACACTAATATTTATTATTTACAATGTGGTTAAAGCATGCTTTGACATCTTTAAAAGTACCAGAGTATACAGTTGCACACTCTTTCCTTCCCGGGTTTTCTTTTTCAATCATTTTTCTTTTTGCTAATTTTATCTTTTATCTTTTGCACTTTATATCTTTTCTTTCATTTTCAGGATGCAGGTCCCATGGCTCATCCTGTCCGGCCTCATTCATACATCAAGGTTTGTGGTTCATCTTTGGAAATTTTATACTCTTTTTATGTTCTTTTAATTAAATGTAACTTTAACTATTAATTTTATTATAAGGGGAAAATGTTTCAACTTTGAAGATTCACCACATTCAATATTGTTCCATACTTTCATGTTAAGACACGATTTTTTTAACTTAATTTCTCCTTTTCTCGTATACTTAAACCATGACATAAAATTGAGCTAAGTGTATATTTTTCTTAATTTAGCTCTCTAGTTTAAAGTTTAAACATAATTAAATCATTAAAATGAAGTTAAGATTCCCTTTTCCTACATTCGACATCAACCCCCTTCAATCTAGAGAAGATTTGAGTTAATTTCAACATCTGACAGGTTATTTATTTGCTTTTATTTTATTTATCTTCTTTTTGGAATTAAAATTTTGCTATTCTTAGAGAAATTAAATTTTGTGATTTTTTAATAAAGTTTCCTTCGTTACAAAATATAAATTGCAGTATCTAATTACCTATAGTGTTTAGTGACTGTTCTCTCATTTACCTTTTAACAGATGGACAACTTTTACACTGGTAAGTATTTTCTCAGTTATCTAGAAGGTTGTGGACTGCTATCTGGTCACTAATATTGGAATCGTATTCCTTTACTCTTTTATAATGTAAATGTTTGCAACACCACTATTCCATGAAAACTGATCGGTTTATTCTATATTCTGTATGATGGCCTGGATCATTCCTTTCTTCAGTAACGGTACGTTTCTTGCAAGTATCTCTGCATATTTATGGTTTAACACTCTTTGTTTGTTTCTCCATTGTTGAAACTTTATAACGAGTCTTTTTATCGTGGATTTTGTTCCAAACACACAGGTGTATGAGAAGGTTAGACTTTTATGTTGGTTGTCACAGTTTTCTTTCACCCCCCTGAATGTTCTAGTTTTAAATTGAATTCTTGAATGAACAGGGTGCTGAAGTTGTCAGGATGTACAAAACATTGCTTGAGAGCTCAGGGTTCCGAAAAGTATGTTACTAATGCCTATGTTTTTTTTTAAAGGATTTTCTTATGATATAATGAGATGATTTTCATTTGGAAACATTCCGTGATGTCTATATTCATTCAATTTATTTCAAAAATACTTAATTCAATTGTGAATAATGCAATATCTTTCAACCATAGTTTTAAAAAGCGGAAAGCGCTCCCAATTTCAAGGGAGCGCTTTTTTAGCTTTAACCGCTTTAGCGTCGCTTAAAGCGGTTAAAGCTATATAAAGTTATAAACAGCTAAAGATTTATCTTAGCTGTTTAACCGCTTTAACCGCTAAGATTTATATAGCTAAAGCGGTTATGGGCTTATGGCCCATATATAAACAGCTAAAGCGGTTAAGCTATATAA